ACTGGCTTTGGATACCTTCCCGATTATTCAATACCTCCCATGACGGTAGAAGAATACCAATATTACGACAACAAATTTTTTGGATTTTTGAATGAAAAACCACTTCATAAAGCAGCAGAAGACGTAGCTGATTTTGTTGAAAATTTCATACAATTTATTGGAATATCGAAGCTCTCTAAATATGAAGGTAAGTTGAGATGATGGTTTTTTTAGTATTCGAGAGAGTTTTTGTTTAATGTTAAAATATGTCAATCAAATATGTCCATCAGATATGTCAAAACATGTCAATCAAATAGATCAAAATATGTCTATCAAATAAATCAAAATATGTCTATCAAATAAATCAAAATATGTCTATCAAATAAATCAAAATATGTCTATCAATAAATCAAAATGTCTATCAAATAAATCAAAATATGTCTATCAAATAAATCACAATATGTCTATCAAATAAATCAAAATAAATCAAAATATGTCTATCAAATAAATTTAAACATGTCAATCACAAGAATATTTCAATCTTAAGGTCAAAATGTATTCTGCTGATATGTTAAATGTATATAGAAAACTAAATATTTACTGGACCACCTGATTCAACAAAACAAAGTTTATCTTTGGATGTTAAGGCTATGGTCCCAACAAGGGCAATGTTGTAGGGGGGACCACTCAACAGATTTTCATTCTAAAAAGTGATACAGATAATTACAATTGAGCTCTATCAGCTCAGCTGTTATGAGAATATATTTAGACGTTTAAACTCTATAATTTTTACCTGTGAAGACAATTATATTTGAGGTATGTAGTTGAACAAGAATGTAACAAAAATAATGAAAAAAATATAACAATAACATCTTCACAATGTCAAGCTAGTACAAACTCTGTCTTTGTGTTGAGGGCTGTATTTTCTAGTGTCCAATCCATTTACAAACTTCTGTAATAGATGAAAAGTGAAGTATAAGTATTAGATGCAGTTCGTAATTGCTTGGACATTATGAAGATGATGGCAGCTAAGAAAAGGATTTATAAGTTTTGACTATAGATCGTTAGCAATAGGCTGATTTAGATTAGTTCAACCAAAGCTTGGAATGTAAGAAACAAATGTGCAAAAAATCTATTTACAATTGTTAATATTTAATGATCAGTTCTTTCACAATGTCTTCTCTATTACAAACTGAGTCTTATACCTTGACTGACACCATTAACCACTTGTAGTGATAATAACTTGACTTCATTAGGCTCTTCTCTTGTATCATAGAAGTTTGTAAATTCAGTTATTTGATTGGATTGTATATTACTGAAAACAGACAAGCAAACGCCTTGACAGAAAGTCTGTAAATAATATGCCATAATGTTTAGAGTCTTTATTCCGAGGTCTCTGATCGGCTGTATATACTAGCATACAATCCAATCAAATTGCTGCATTCTGTGGTACAAAGTGCTAAATGAAATCGAAGTATTAGACAAAGTTTGTAATAGATTGACATTGTGAAGATGGCACATCCATCCACACGAGCAGTCCACTTTTTTTGGAGGTAGTTTAAGTAGTAACGAACACAAGATAAGTCTGATGTGAAATGTTTATATTAGTATTTATTCTACCTTGAAATAAACTGGACTGCTCGTGTTTTTGTTTGAAATCTAACCTGAATATTTCTGTGAGACTAAACTATATAAAAGTTACTTAAATAATAAATACGCAGAATTCTCTGATTCTCATCTAATCCACTATGTGTCTTTTAATTGATGGATGTCAGCCAGCTAAAGTTAAAAAAACTATGTCATTTAATCTTGACATTATATCAAAAATAGACACCAAAATATTCATTTTTCTGAAGTAGCTGGCCAACATCCATCAAAATATTTTTCTAATGCTAAATAAAAGTCAATCAGTTTCAGGGTGATACAAATACAAACAAAACATTCTAAATTGAGAATATTCAACAAAGATTCTCATTGGTTAAACTGAATTTCGGGTGAGAATTGACAATATCACAAAACACACAAGGCACATTTTAAACAGCAAAATCTAGAGGCATAATCTTAAAAATTATTTGATTAAATTTTGGCGAAAAGTTAAGTATTTCAGTAAAATGATTGGCTTACAATAGTTCCAGTTCCAATTATGCAATTTGATTGGCTGAAACTAAGTCTGGTTTTATAGCATGGTTGATTATACATGCCATGTGATTGGCTGACACTTTGGCAGAGTTGAGTATTTATGCAATATGATTAGCTGATACTAATTCTGGTTGAGTAGTCATGCAATGTGATTGGCTGACACTTTGACAGAGTGGAGTATTTAAAGCATATGATTGGCTGACATTTTTCAGATGAATATTTAAGTAATTTCATTGGCTATCACATTAACAGTTCAACAACATCACACTACAATTGGACAACTATCATTCTATTGAAAACACTTGAACATTTACGCTATTTCATTGGCTATCACTTTTGCACATGACACCAAACCCATTCAAAAGGCTTGCAATACGATTGGTTGATTGTGGTTCCATTGAAAGACAGATGAGTATTTAAACAATTTGATTGGCTAGCACTAATTCCAGTTAGTCTTTCAGATCCTGACATCGAGAACAGTCCAACATTTCCTCCACATATTCTTCTATCTGCATCGTTGTTTCTGTGATTTCAAATTTCTCTTTTATCATATTTGAGGCCATTTTTAATACTGACTGAGTATCTGCTGATGAATCTAGAAAAATATAGACAACACTTGTAAAAATCTAGATAAATATAGACAACACTTGTAAAAATCTAGATAAATATAGACAACACTTGTAAAAATCTAGATAAATATAGACAACACTTGTAAAAATCTAGATAAATATAGACAACACTTGTAAAAATCTAGATAAATATAGACAACACTTGTAAAAATCTAGATAAATATAGACAACACTTGTAAAAATCAAGAAAAATTGAGTTTTATGTCCTACTATTCTGTACCTAAATGTGCTAATAAAAACAAGACCACCATGCATTGTGCAATGAGGGACCGAGGCATTAGCCTACTCTTTTTTCATTTCCAACTGTCGAGGGATCTTTAACGTGCATAGCCTGTAACACACGGGGCCTCGGTTTATTGTCCCATCCGAACGACTAGACGCTTTTTCCATGACGGGGGGAATCGGATACAAATAATGGCTAGAAATTTGACTTATAGTCTGCTTTATATTCAAAATTATTTGGTTGTCAGTTAGGACTTTGGCAGGGATAATGATCGGAATGTTTTTGCCTGTTAAATCTGTTTTATTTTCCATTATACCTTCAGATATATTACTTGCTAGTATTGAAAGAGTAGATATTATGATGAAATAAGTAGATACTTACAGACAGCAATATGGACTGATAGAGCTATCTTGTTCATGGTAAGAGACCACACTCGTAAATTATGGATATCTTTAATACCTTCAATTTCATAGAAAGCATCTCGAATATCTCCAAATACTAAATGACGTGGTGTACCTGTCAATCGAATAAATGAATGAATGAATGAATGAATAAATTGGACACTTTGTCCCGATATACAACCATAACCGCCATAGGGTAACAGTTTATTGTTTATATTTACGTTTTTAAGACATTCTAATTTTGATATAAAGATTTCAGTATGAATTTAAGTAGGGCCTATTTCTTTACGTTTCAACGTTTGGGACTACCAACATGATTGTTTACATTGGAGACCGTCTATTTGATACAATGACATCAATGAATAACAACGTCATTGGTTAAAATTACCTTCCATAAGAACAACTATAATATCTCGCAGTATGGTAACAGTAGTTACAATAACAAACAACGAAAATAAAAAGGTGCAGATAGGATCAGCAATCTTCCATTCAGGCTGAAAATACAGAATCAGAAATTCAGAATATAATGAGAGCTGTTCTAGAAACGATCAAATGAAAGTGGTAGATTGATCACAACAAGCTTAGATAGTTCTGTAACTGGTAGGGAACTCTTTAACGAACGAGTGGCTACGAGCATCTGGACTGACTAGTACCTAGAGGAACTTTGGTTCAGGATCTAAAGTGTTGGATTGTTCTTCAACTGGTAGAGAACACTTTACGAACGAGCGGCTATGGATTGTTCTCTCAACCTTTCTCATTTTTGCCTGTAGGGACGACACTGGGCCAAGTCTTATCGCAACAAGTTTCTGGATCTATAACTGACAGACTCTTACCTTGAAATAAATAATGAAGGCCGCAACAAGGACTCCGATGCTCTGACACAAATCACCGATCACATGAATAAAGGCAGCCTTGACATTGATATTATTTTTACTTTTACTTTTACGATTATGACTGTGACCATGTTCGGACTCTTCGCTTGGGTTTTTGAACCGGGTATAATCTGTACCGTTAGATTCCTGGTTGATACTTCCGTAACGTTTTTTCTCTTCCTCCGTTTGACCATTGTGGGAATTGTGGGAATGATTTGTGTCATGTTTCTTAGAGTCATGAGAATGGTTGCCATGGGAATGTCCTCCTCCTAGATGACTGTGGGTGTGTCCACTTTGATGTAGCGTAAATCCCAATCTAAAAGAAATGGACAGAGTCTTACATGTGGACAGTACAAGAACAAATATCTGGAGATTTTGGCAAAAAATCTGGGGACTTTTTCAAATAATTTCATGCTCCAAATTTTTTTCCCTCTTATAAACACATCCTGAGCCTTATCTATTAAGATAGATCCATGCCATGTCTCTGTACATATCTGGCCTTCCTTCATTGTCTTGGGGGTGGGAGCACTTCAAATATAGCACCAGGAGTGTGCGGACTGAACCACTGATCAAGTGTAACAGATATAATAGATTTCAGCAGCCAACTTACGCCAGATTAAAAGCTACGCCACAACCAGCAGTTATTAACATGACATCAGCGTTTATTGAATAGGTGGTATCTATAATTCTATTGACAGCCGAATAACACAAGATTCCTGTTAAAACCCATAACATTAAAATGGACAAAAATGCACCAAGAATTTCTGAAAAACATATAATAATATACTTGTAGGAATGAATTTGATTTGGATTGATTTTTAATTCAACTTAGTATCTCTTTTCGAGAGTTCACATAGCTAAAAGTGTATATTCTGATCTGACACATTTGATTGACATGTTTTGACTTATTTGATAGACATGTTTTGATTTATTTGATAGACATGTTTTAATTTTTTGATTGACATGTTTTGACTTACTTGATAGACATGTTTTGACTTATTTGATTGACATGTTTTGACTTATTTGATAGGCATATTTTTTACTCATTTGATGGACATATTTGATGGACTCAATGGCCTTTTCTGAAGCAGAAAATCGTACTTAAAAGACACCTACCAATTCTATACCATCCAAAACTAAGTTTCTTTGTGGCTCTCCTTTGAGCTAAGTACAAAGCCATTAAGCTGATCATGAAACTAGCAAAGTCAGTGAGAAGATGGGCAGCATCAGAGATAATAGCTAAACTACCAGCTACTAGACCACCTAAAAAATATATAAAGTAAGAGGTATTACTTAGATCTCAGAAGACCTTTATCATTTCAATTTTGGATCAAAATGTTTCTTGGATGTAGATCCTTAAAGTGATTGTAAAGAGGTTTTTCTAAACTTTTTATATGTATCAGGGACACTGATAACTTCTGTGGTTGCAATTCCACTAAATCTACAGCGTTTTATGACGTCACTAGAGGGGAACTGCATAGATATTAATAGTAGCTTCCGGTAGCTTCCCTCTAGTGACGTCATAAAACATGTTAGTTTTAGTGGAATTGCAAGAACCACAGACGTATGTTTGAAAATTCAAATGATGTAAATTGAAGCTATCAGTGTCCCTTAGTCACTTTTAAACTCACCTTCTCAATTCAAGAAAGATTTAAGAAAACTTGAAGACTTACCTACCATCTCTCCCACCATGAATATAAGACATAATAAACTAGCTATGATCAGCTTCTTCTTGGCCTTTCCATCAACTTCAGATCTTTCATCAATATCATGACAATGGCTTGCTGAAATATTACAATCTATGACTCATTTGATTGATATGTTTTGATTTATTTGATTGACATATTTTGCCATATTTGATGGACATGTTTTGACTTATTTGATTGACATATTTTGACTTATTTGATTGACATATTTTGCCATATTTGATTGACATGTTTTGACTTATTTGATTGACATATTTTGCCATATTTGATGGACATGTTTTGACTTATTTGATTGACATATTTTGACTTATTTGATTGACATATTTTGCCATATTTGATGGACATGTTTTGACTTATTTGATGGACATGTTTTGACTTATTTGATTGACATGTTTTGACTTATTTGATTGGCATATTTTGCCATATTTGATGGACATGTTTTGACTTATTTGATTGACATATTTTGACATATTTGATTGACATATTTTGCCTCATTTGATGAACATGTTTTGCCATATTTGAAAGTAAGAATTACCTACCATTAGATGAAAGAGATACAGCTGAGGAACTGTTAGATTGTTGTAACTCTACAGATCTACAAATTAAGATAAAAATTAAGACATTTGGCATCTTTTTAATTAAGTATTTACAAGGTTTCCCAATTGAATTATTTCGATTATTAATTGACTATGATAGTCTGCCATTGATAATCGATCTCAATTTGGTAATCGATACCCAGCAAAAATATCATTTATAGTACTATAACACTTTAATTTAAATTTTCAGTGGCATAAACTATTTTTTTTACCACAACAATAATGATTATTATTAGTGATATACATCTCCTGTAAAACTATGATATTACCCAACTATGACACTTCAATTTAATCTTTCAAAGACAATAACTAATTTATACCATAAATGTTATCATTGAAAAACGTTCCCATGAAAAAAATAGAACAATAAACCTACACTTCATTTGAAGTATTATTTTAGATAACTATATCTTTTCCATTGATTATGAACATTAATTTTTTTTGTTCCTTAGATTAAACTATTATTTAAAAATTTCAAATTATCTAATGATTAAACAATCACTTGCCCGACATAACGAATAACAAAAATAAATGAGATAGAAAACAATTTTATGCTCTGATCATGTTATTTCAACCTTGAATTGAATTTCTGTTGTTTTCCCTACAACTGTGGGTTGACAGGAATTATACCATTATCAGTTCCTTTTCATCATTGAACTAAAAAAATAATGAACCTTGAATATCATGGGCTGAATGTTAGACCGGTTTATCTGTATCCATCTACAGCTGGGCTGACTGGAATTATGAGTGTATAAGGCCTATTCAAAATGAAAAAAGAAATTTCACACATAACAGGATCCTTATATAATCTGATAAATCCAAAATTCAGTTGTAACAGGTAAGTTCACCGATGAATATATACTCATATTGACCATTCTTACGAATTAAATTTTATGTTCATTCTAAGACATAGTATCACTTTAAGAGATGAAAAACTGTATATCCCTATAAAATCTCCATTTAAACAACTTTCGTGAATAACACTTACATTAAAAAATACTCAAATTACCTACAGAGAAAAGCCATTGATTTGAAATCAAAATATAAGACACAAAAAACACAAACTTAGTATACTAGTCATTAACTGTGAAATAAACAAGCACTGTATACATTAAAATAACCTGGTTTTTAAAAAATCACCTATAACCAGTCCCAGATTGGTCTCTTGTCACTTTTAATTAAAGAAACACTCTCTACAATCATTCCACCTTGTTTTTTTAAATCACCTTTACCAATGACCAGGCCACGTATTCTCGAAACGATATTAACGCTAGGTTCTTATTTTCTAACATTGATTCTAGGACATCCTAGCTTTAAGATCATTTCGAGAATACATGGCTAGATGTTCACGTGAACCACATTTGGTTTCTTGTAACTTTTATTTAAACAAGCACGGTCTACAATCATATAACCAACTTTTTTTCACCAATAGATCGTGGGCATCAAAACCCATCAAGTATTGTCATTTATAATTGCTATATTTTGGACAACAGTTTTCTGTTGCTGATTTTTTTTTTATGAACGTTAAAATTTTTTACACTGAAATTTCCAGGCTATCACCCTTTAAATTAATAATCATTTGAACAAAAAAAACAATGTAATGTATTGTCAATAATATATATTTGTATATTAAGAAAACAACAATACAATCCATCAAAAGCAACCACATGTTACTAAGGCTGTCTTTGTTCCAGGGCCAAAGTTTTTGTTCCAGGGGTTCGAGGGCTGCCAAAAGCCAATGCATTTTAGGCATCCTTACTGAAAGGTGAAAGGACAATCATGGCTTTTTTTATATTCCTCCCCCTTCTTCAAATTAATGAAAAAATAATTAATTAATTGGTTTAGCATAAAAAAATTATATTTGTCAGATTCATTTCTCTGCAAATCAGCAGTTTGACTTAATCATTGAACTGAAACATGTTGAATTTAGATTAATAAACTTAATAAATATGCCAATAGAATCTTCTATGTATTATTAATAAATAAATAAAAAAAATGAAATGAATGGAGTTTTACATCCTACATTTCTGCACCATGTGGGCTAATGAAGACGGGCAACGCCATGCAGTGTACAATGAGAGAAATTGTCAGGAGGTATGAGATTGCTCTTTTTCGATATCCAACTTTTTTTTTGCCACATACTTAAAAAAAAATTAAAATAAAATCTTTAAATGTGAATTCATAAAACTTTTTTTTTAAGCACATTTGAGAAAAATACTTACTTTGGTAATATTGATTTATTTAAAATGATATCCATAGTGGTATATTTTATTTCATTTGTACAAAATTAACCCGCTTGTTTGCAAGCTCTTACTTGAATAAATTTGTTCTTCATCAGTGACTCTTAATAAGGTTACGTGTTTAAAGAGAGGTGTGTGCAAAAAATAGATTGCGAAAAGCTATATCTTAACATAGTCCTTAGGGATGTGTGCAAAACCATGATGGAAGATCATTGAACTTGATAAGATAATACTATTTTGAAACAGATGTACTGATATCTTTAAAGTCACTCTACTTTGTTGAAAATTTCATTTCAATTTTACTCTGTTGAAAAGTCGGGTAGAGCATTTTGCTCTTTACATGACCTCATTTGCTTTGCATGGTTAGTTGAGCAAATGGCAGCTGTGGGTTCCAATCTCGATCGATGTGTGAAATTCTGATGACCCTGAATAAGTCATTTTTTCTCATAATTCCAGTTGACCCAGCTATAAATGGGTACGGATAATCCAAGAAAGATCAATGCCAAGAAGTTTGGCCAAGGACCAGCTGGTAGAATGAGTCTGTAAAATATAGTTGTATGAATTTCATTTGCTATATGTTGCCTGCGAAACATAAAACACATTTACATTTCGTTTCTATTCAATTCACTGTTTTCTATTTTGTATCTCTATTATCCAAGTCATGTGTATCTCTATTTTTATTTGTATCTATTTCCCATTTGTATCTCCATTATCCAAGTCAAGTGTATCTCTATTTCCCATTTGTATCTCCATCATCCAAGTCAAGTGTATCTCTATTCTTATTTGTAACTATTTTCATTTGTATATTAATTTTCCCATTTATATCTTTTTCCATACAAATTTCTTTTTTCAATTTATATCAGTGATATCCATTTGTATTCATATAAATAAACATTTAAGTTATATCTGGGACATCACCTTTAAAGAGGTTATCTACCTTACAACTAAAAAACACACCTACCCGAGCACGTCTGTTAATTCCATTTAAAACTTGAGTTAAGCAATACACGATGTCAGTTTAAAGTAAAATTTGCTTAATCCACAAGGCAGTGCATCAATTGGAATTTTAAGTCTTCCGTTTCTGCACTTATTGAGGCTAAATCACATAAAACTTCAGTATGTAAATCATATAATATAGAGAAAATGTCCTTTGTTGGTCATGAGTTTACCAGAGGCCGTGTGCAAAATTGACCAAAGACTGTAAAATTAGGAAGATAAGATAAAGTGATAGAACGATTTGATAATAATGAACTCAAGCCTCAAGCCTGTAGCAAGGGATGTTGATTTTGATGTATTTGCCGGTCATTGCCTCAAGCCTACAGCTCCCTTTTAATTTTTAATATTGAAAAGTGATACAGATAGCCAAATCTGGGCTCTAACAGAGCTCTTTAAACTACCGGTACTTCAAAATAAAATAGACTGCTCATGTTTTAATGTTTAAATTGATGGACTCTGATAGAGAAATGGACTACAATCTTTGGATTTGGATTGAGCAATACACAATCACTTCTTAATGACCGGATTATAAGTCATATTATATATCCTTGTAGATAAGATCTTGATAATAAAGTCAAGATGTAAAGAAAGCGAAGGTCAAGATAGAGGTGGATGTAATTCTGAGGCCTTTCCTACAAATCAATGTTTCTTCAAATATATTTTTATTACTGGTTTCCCCGGTCTGGGACAATAGACTGAGGCCCAATGTGCTACAGACTGTACAATCCAAAGATCCCTTGGCTGTTGGAAATCATAAAAAGAATACCCTAATGCCACTTTCCTTACAAAATTACCCTCATCGCATTTATCATAATTTGTATTGCCGGTACTGGAAAGTCTGAGTGTTACATACAACACATCTTCAAGAAGCATTAAATAATATACAGGAGAGGTCTAAGTATTATAGACACCTCTTTATGAAACAAAGGATGGACCTCTAATATTTCACTAATCATGTGTAAGGGTGATAAGAAATAATAGACACAATGAAAACTAATTAAAAAGACAACCATATTACACTTCCATTTTATTAACTACAAAACCAACAATAAGATTTCAACAATATTTAGAAGCGGAGAGCACATATAACAAAAACACTAGGTAATATATTCTATTATGATATTAGTTTGGTGTTATTAATCAAAGAAGTGTGTTATACCATAATATATTCCCTGGTGTTTTTGTTATACAAACCAACAAATTATCCATTGGCTCAGATTGTTTCATCAACTAGGCTACCACAATCACCAACAACTACCTTGTCTACAATATCAGCATCTGCTCGAAGCGGACGTTAACTTGTCATCTACCAAACCAACCATCACACTTTATTGCTTAATGTAAGCTTGAAAGCTCTGTGGTATAAATATTTGCTTCACAAGCATATTTCAGCCATCCATGTCACTTTTAAGAATAACAATCTGACACTTGGCAAATACCTGATTGACATTCTGAAAAGTGATCTGGATATTTGAAAATAAGCACTAAGCCTATCTGTCAAAGAGAAAAGGCATAACATACCTCACAGCTGATGTAGAAGAACTAAGTAAGCAATCAGTTTCACTGTACTCGTTCGCCATGGTCTCATCTATACTGCATCTGTGTCTTGCAATTCTTTTCTTTTGGTGACAACATTCTGGGCACACGTGACTGGCCCTAGAAGTTCCACACGGACCTTCCACTGCACACGGAACATGGCTTGTCGTGGCCGAGTTCGTGGAGAAATTCGGATTTTGGATGTTTACTTCGGGTACATCACTGTCGTTAATGGAACCGTATCTATGCATATTGAAGTCTGGGGTCGAAAGTTCAATGTTTGTTTATGAGATTCAGCCTCCGTGGGTCAAGAATGTACAATATTTATGCAAGATCACACATTTTAAAACTAAAACGCAAATAGAAAGTAGAAACACGACGCCATGTTTACAATTTGCACACCATTCCTGTTTTTTTTCCCTGAAGAGCTTGCTTGAAGAGTTATATCCCCTTAGCTACAATAGTCTTGCGTATCAAGTCACTACATAATGATGTATTTGTGGTCGTCGTCTAAGAATTTATAAATGGAGTTACTTCCCTTTGACCGTAAAGCTTAATAGGTTTCATATAGAATTTTTTCAACAATTAGAATAGAATTTCTTTGCGTTTCGAGATGATTTACCCCCGTAGCTCTTAGAATATAATAATTTAAACCCTTTTCAATCTATTCCTGCACATATATGCAGGTTTCTAAAGCAACGGTTGGCGGATGAGAAGGGTAGAGGAATGAGCAGGAGAGGGGAGAGGGCTTATTATAATGCTCTTTCTTGAGCCCTTCACTCTTGAGCACCCAGGGTATGGAGTGATGGATTACCTAAACACAGAATGAGTTCAATCAGGCCCGTAGCTTTAGGGAATTTTGGCCTCCTTCTGAGAATCTGGGCTAGCTCATTCCAAGTCCAAGTCCTCAAGCTTTATGCTCTGTAGACCCAGAGCACACAGGACTTGCAAAAAAAATCAAATAATATTTTTTCACTCTTTATTTTCTTTTGACTGAACTTAACAAAAATCCTTCAACCAAAATTACTGATCATAAATTAAAAAAAAAAGAGAACTAAGATGATTACCATGTTCTTTGAGGGAAAAAATACCCAAAGGAATTAAACCTTAAAGATAAATTCCCTCAATTAATACGGAAATCAAGCATTTAAATGGGTCCAGCCCACAATAAATTACTACAGAGCAGTTCATTCTAATTCTGGTTAAGTAAAACCTAATGTGATTGGATGATATCTAAAACACTTCAATCTTTATCCAATAAAAAGTCTCTATTCTAATTCATGGAATGGACAATATACAGGAGGACTGAGTTGAGAAATGTGATGACTCTGTGAAAGTAATGGCTCAATATTTGGGGATATTAATAGCCTATGGGATATTTTTGATTTACAATTTTGGATATGCCTGATGGCAATACACACCATGAGTAGAATTTAAGATTTAAAAAGTGTCCAGGTTGGAAACATAGAATAAATTGGAGAAAAATTCCCATATTCCTTTCCAGCTGATAGAGTTCAATTTCAGCCATCTGTATCACTTTTTAGAATGAAAATCTAGCATTGTGTTCAACCGCAGCAATTTCAACTTCATACAATCTTTAAGATCAAAATTTTGAATTGCAAACTGACCAAACATCAGATTTCAATTATGAAAAGTGATAGAGTTAGGTGAAATTGTACACGATCAACATTCAGATGATGGCATCCATTTCAAGATTTCCAAACAAATTTAGATGAATGGAGTTTTACATCCTACTTTTCTGCACCATATGGGCTAATGAAAACAGTCCAAACAAATTTAGAATTGGAACCAATGTCTTAACAGTCCTAACCAAGTTGAGGCATCACACATGTAAGATATGTACATATAAATGATTTTCGTTGCTAATTATTATAATACTATACTAGAGTTAATGCCCATTTATTTAAGAAACTAAAAGTTCTCTCCCTTTATCTTGGCCTTCAATCACCACCTAGAGCTTCTCATTTTACGTAAGTTCTTGCATTTGTTAAATTTCTTTTGCATTTCATTATGAAATAAAAATAGACTCAAAAACATGAATACAATTTAGATGTGCTAAAAATGGCCCTATTATTTCATTGGAAAATTGTAAATGCAATTTGTATTTTAGTGCTATGCTTTAATAGCTATGCTTGAAATCTTGTGTTCTGCCAAAAAAACAAATTAAAGAAATTAAAAAACAATAAAGCATAGCTCGAAAGTATTTTTGCTGCGTCACACGCAAAGCAAACCAAATCATTTTTCATTATGTTAATTAGGTATCCAGTAGCTCTTTTCATTTATACTTCAACAATAAGGTATGTCTATAATATCTAAAAGCTTTCACAGTTATAAATATATATCTATTATCTATCAGAAATATGCATTTCAACAAAAGACATAACTCTATGAGGTTTGACCATGGGCCAGCTGGTTGAAAGGATCCTCATTATTCCAGTCGCTATATGAAATTTTGATTTTGTTTGAAAAGATTTTTGAAAATTGAAAATTACCCCTTGAACATTTTGAAAAAAGATATGCTCAATTCTCATTTTAGGTTCATACAAAAGAAAATAAATAAGGTGACAAAGCAAGATTAAATTAATTAAAAAATAAATTAGATTTTTTCCATTGAAAAGCAGCCATCTTGTTTGTCACAAAAATATACTATCTACACTGAAATCAACTTTGGGATTTTGAATCTAGGCATTTGATTGGCTGATGACTAAATATAATGATATTGAGCCAATCAAAAGAACTGATCTGAAATCCAGTTTCTTACAAAATTGAAAACAGAAATGCAATAAAAACTAAAAATTAAGAAACACACTTTGAACAAATACAATTGAGGAATTTTGAAAGCCTCAATTCCATTGGATAAAAAATCATCCAATACCTTCCCTGTCATTTTAAAACTATCCAATCACATGCAGGCTTTTAACACAAGCTATTAGGCTAAAAATGATATCACAAATCCTTATATGGTCATGTCCACGTTCAAAATATCTTGAACTTTGACCACAGACTATTTTTTAAGAACACAGACATGTCATGTATAGCACTGTCAATAAAATGTAAACTCCGCCTTCTTTTTAAAAAAATGTTTCTGAACACTTTAGTTCAGCTCCTCCCACAAATGTGTCAATCACAATTCACAATTGACTAGAGCGAATCAAATCAACTTTTAGAACTGTTAACTTGAAGCTGATTCAGATACATTGCAGATTGCATTTGGTTCATGTATCCTAAAAAAACGACTTTTCCAATAGCGAAAACTCTTTTCCAAATTTGGAAATAAGGGGAATTCCAGTCTGTTTATATGATATGTTGATTCTATCGCCATGGTAATATATTTGACACTCTATCCCATATATAGCATAGCATAGCACTGATGGAGTCAAAGTTTTGGCAAAACAGAATCACTAAAACAATTGATCCAATCGTCGTTAGGATTCGAAGTCTGAAAAGAGAAGGCGATTAAGTAAGTAATCAATCAAAATGAAGCGAGAAACATGAGCAAAAAGATCAAACGTAAGTAGAATCAATGAAAACTTACCGTGAAGTGAGTAAAGTAAGTCCAAAGTAAGTAGAATCAATGAAAACTTAGTGTGAAATTTAGAAAGTAAGTCCAAAGTAAGTAGAATCAATGAAAACTTACCGTGAAGTGAGGAAAGGTGATAATAAATTAGCGGCAGTGGATACAAAGACTAATATCACAGCTACTAGTGCTAGGACCACGTTAATTAATTTAGTTAATATAGTTCGAAACGTCACATTCTCCACCATCTCCATTGATAGAATCTGCTGCTGTTGTTGTTGCTGTTCTAATCTCTGGATCTACAAAATCAAGGGCAATAACTCTCAATTCTAGGAACAGAATACTCTCACTTTTAAACTTTGATGCAGTAGATATTCTTATATGATAATCACCATTATCCAAATAAAGTATCCTGATGAGAATTTTATATCCAAAATGTGTCTAAGTGTCGGGATAAGCTCCATTCAAGTCTTAAATTTCATGGACAAAATAATTTACAGTTACCTACCCTTGTTTGACAGTTGTCCACCAGGTCACTCAAATCACTGGTTCTCTCATCCAGTCTGTACTCAATCTTCTCCTCCATGGAGCTGATATCCTGAAATATTGGAACAAATCATTAGAAGCAAAGCATAGTCAGACACATCCAAGATACCAATGGTCTAACAGGCTGTTCCTTGCCCGAGTAAACTGACAATGTCAAGGTCTCCAATGATAATGATGATGTACATACCTGTTTTAGATTTGTGATTTCATTTTGATGGAGTTCTGTTAGATCATTGATCTGATCTTCCAGTCTTTCCACCTTGTATTTCTCTTCATCAACTTGATTACGGAGGGTGGTTAGATCAGCTTGAGTTAGGACCTGCAAAATAATATATAGTGGTAAGATATAGGAACATGGTGTTACTAAGAACCACAATTAACAACAATGACCAAAATGGATGTCCAAACTTACTCTGTGGTGTTCGAAATCTTCAATCATACGTTGCATGGCTTCCTGAAGCTTCCTTCCTTCATCTTTAATTTCGGAAATTTCATGGATTAGAGGTTCTACGAGGGATTGTGTTTGAGGAGAAACCTGAGTCAAGTTTTGGGAAGTGGAGTGTGGACTGCTCTGAGCTCCAAACCCAGAGCCAGACGTGATGCTTGAATTATCATCTTCATTATCATCATACTTAAAACTGAAATAGATAAAGGTGTTGTGATAATTGAGATAGAGTTTGGGCTGCTGGGGAAGTCCTGGGAACATGTGGGAATGGTTCACTAATCCGTGTCTAAGCTAGCCAATCTGTCTTGCAGTCTACCATTCCAAAAAGGCAAGAACATCTTAATGTAAGGACAACAGAAAGCCTCTCAGGATCCTGTTTATAGCTGAACCATGACAATGATCAGTCCTGGATTATCTGTACCCATTTACTGATTCTTGGCTAAGTATCTTGGTGATCTTTCCTGGATGATCCAACCAATTTACAGACGGGCATCCACAGAATATAAAAATTGAATGAAAGAGCCATACCTAGCAGGGAGAGTTCCACCACTTTTACTTTGTTCCTTGGACCCTTCTCCATTGTCTTCCATTTCTGAAAACACAAATTCAATATCTAATTTTGTCGAAACGCTGAAGTGTATTAGTCCTCAGTCTCTCATAGACGAATGACTCGATTCTTCAGCTGATTATCTCCCTTCCATGCTTCTGTAAGATATCTCTCTGATAATCATATACTATATATTTGCTGATATAACGCACAGTTTTTTCACTGTCATTTGCCAAACTTGTTGATTTTTTTCAGAGGTTATGTTAGGTTCACTTCAGGGTAAGAAGGAAGAGAAATTATACATTACTTACTTATTGAATTAATGTTGCCTTCACTACCAAATTTATTTTTTATTAAATGTGCAAATTCTTTAGGTTTGGCAACAATAGATCTGAAATTAATAAACAAAGCTATTTATGATTGTCATGTTATGATAAACTAATGGTTATGTTATGATAGACTAATGGTTATGTTATGATAAACTTATGGTTATGTTATGATAAACAAATTGTTATGTTATGATACACTAATGGTTATGTTATGATAAACTAATGGTTATGTTATGATAAACTAATGGTTATGTTATGAAAAACTAATGGTAAACAAATGGTAACACCAATAATAGTAATGGTAATGTATCTTATAAATTAACACTTACTCTTTGGCACCTTTAACACTGTCCACAACTCCCCTGAAATGAAAAATAAAAATGGTCAGCCAAAAATGCAAAAAAATCAATCAATCCATAAACTTTAATGACAGAATACAGCAACTTTGGCAGATATGGCTGCAAATGATAAAAGAGCTTTCACAGCCTGTTAAAAGTAAACTATAAATAATATGTGAGGAAAACTATGTGCGAGAAGACAACAGCTTGTCTGTATTTCAGAACAGAGGTATTTTAGTCACCAGTCAATATTGATCAGTAAAAAAGCCAAACAAATTTTCAAACAAACTTATTTAGGCCTGATGGAAAATTGAGTTGGTAATGTATTGGCTATTGCAGACACAGTTTTGTGATATCTTGTGGGATACCCTTTTTATGTGATATCTACCTACAGGTGTAGCTTTAGTATCAAAATACCACTTACTTCAGCCCTTGACCAACATCGCGTAACATTTCTTTAGGTTGTTTATGACCCGTCAATCCATGGGCTTCAATATCTAGTTGCTTCCGCTGTAAAGTTTCTAATTTTTTCTGCATTTGAATGATACTTTGGGCTGATTTTTGGTTGCGTTTTTCGAAAACTGTTTTGATTCTCTGGGCCTGCTGTTTATCAGCGTTGGTGGCCAGGCGTAAATACTCGTTCACATTTGCTGAAAAAAAAATATTCCTTGGAAATAAGTCTTAAGATTGTGGTATCACTCTCTGTATTTTTTTTATTTAGCTTTTATTTTTAACATAGCCAGTTCAATTAAGATCTAACAACGGCCCTTTTGAACATTCATCCCAATAACCTTTTGACCTAACCTTCTGATTTTTAATGGTAAATATTACCCAAGTCTACAAAAATCAAAGATGGACTTACATTCTTTGACCGACTGCTCAGCCTTGATGGCATCTTTTGTTTTGATGATTTTTGATTGAATATGACCGATGGCTTGTTTTGTTTTTTCGCCATCGGTGGTGCTGGAGTCGTCAACATCATCAATGGCCGCCTCAAGGCTCATTCCATTTTCTCGCGTCATGACGTCAACCTGAAAAATACAAAATAACATCACATTTAATATGGTGATTCAACCAATAAAGGAGAAAGAGATTTAGCTATTTAAGTATTATCATTGTCATCATCATTTAATGTATGCATACTTTAATCATCTTCATGAATTATTCATCATCAGTAATCATTATCCATAACAATAATCATTATTTATGCAAATCAAACATTATCAATAATCATAATTAATATTTTTGGGAATTACAAGAACCATAGAATATGGACAAGTTTCTGGAAAAACAGGCGTCATAAAATGATTATCAAATGTTTCCCGAATACACCTACAAAGTTTAAAAAATCTTTTGTAAATAACGAACCACAGACAATACAAGGTAAAAAGTACCTGAATACAAATACTTAGTCTAGGAATCTCATATGAAAAGAGTTATTAATAAAAATAAAATGTGCAAGTTTTAATATGAAAACCACATGGCCTCAGAATTACATGTTTGCACTGATATAATACGGTATCAGAGAGTGCAGTTTTATCATATCATGGTACAAACAAAGAAACCTTCCTGTTGGCATTATTCTTTAGGAACGGATATGTCCTAGTTTCAAACAAGAGAAAAAGAATTCATTTTTTTTCAACCTGCTAAGGCTGACCAGTTTTGTTTTTTATACCTTATGCCATTCTTCAACTAGTTTTGCCAACATTTTTGGAGAGTCCACATGGCTGATATCATTTATAATCTATTTATAATGCACTTGACAACCCACTTAAAAAGTTTTCTGATTGTCAAAATATCAAGATCTTTATATTGTTCATATAAAACCAGCACACAAACAAAATAGAAAGGGTCACAAATGTGAACCCTGTCTGACTCCTCTTTCTATTGTTTCTAAAAATAGTATCAATCTGTTATTTGATTTTGAAGCAAATTGTCAAGAGACTCTGTTAAAACCTTTCTTATCTAGTAATTTCAAATAGAAAACCCACATATCCATCAAAATTGCAATTAAAAGACACAATCCATAAGGTAACAGACAGCAGCAATTATCAATCCATTTGAATCTTGCACATATAATCAATAAAGCACACCCTGAGATCTCAGTTCAATACTGCCTTCAATTCGGTTATCAATTTCACCCTTTAAGGGAGTTCACATTGTTTACACTCTAAATATAGAATGCTTGATAAAGGTCCTGCCCAAAAATAGGGAGCTTATCTAATCAAAAGGTCATAAGAAATCCATTTGGTAAATAGTAACTGAGCTAGGCCACATGAATCCAGTATAAATTAATCCAATGAAATCTTTCAATCAACTGGTTTGTTGACTCAGGGAATTATCAAGGTATTTTCTTTCTCTATCTCAAGGTTGAGGTCTTCTAAAATTCAGATAAATCCTTACAAAAAATGTTCATATGAATTTATGGCCAATGTAAATTGATAACACCTTGTAATAAAAAATATAGATAAATATATCACAGTGTGGCATAAGGTGTTTCAGAAGACTGAGAATACCAAGTCTCTTCAAACAACCTATTTTATTCCATTTCTATATAACTAATGTTTTTCCAATGAAATTTTACATTTTTTTGACATCATTTTGATGAATGAATAGTTATCAAGTATTAGTAAATTTCAAAATATTACATCATAAAGCAATGTTAAAAAACAATACAACAATTACCTGTTAAATTACTAAATATCTTCTTATTTTGAAATATGAACTGAGTGTAACAAAGTTTAGGGATGAATATGATTAATATATTGAGTAATAGTAATATTAATTTCTACAAGCTGATGTCATTTTTTTTAATGCTGATTGGAAACTCAGTTTTTATTTTCATATTTAATCATGATATAAGTACTATTTTAATAATCAAACTACATTATGAAATATTAAATTAAAAATAGCCTTAGATAGTAATGACTGAATAAGTGAATATGTATTGAAAATTATAATAATATAACTTAAAGGGGCAGGCAGTATGATTTAATTCCTGTTTTATCCCAGATAAATACAGCAAGGGTGTGTCAACTCTCTAAATATGACCTTAGAGAGCACTCTGCACTTTATTTTTTAATAATCAAACTACATATGAAATATCAAATCTAAAAATAGCCTTAGATAATGACGACTGAATATGTATTGAAAATTACAATAATATAACTTAAAGGGGCAGTGTGTGACAATTTCAATATTAACTTAAAGGGGGAGTTCAAGTAACTTATACCTTGAATATTATTATCAGCTACCTTCAAGGGGTAATAATAAATAATCCATAAGTACAACTATCATTAACTAAGCAAATAGTAAGTGTGTCAATTTCAATAAAATCAATCAAGATAAAATGCACTAAATCGAGATGGATACAGCAGATGTGGGTGTGTCATCCCTCTAAATATGACCCTTGATAACACTCTGCACTTGGGCTGTAATCTCCAATTGTCTAAATAATCCATAAGACAAATATAAGAAACTAAGTAATTAGTGAAAGTGTCAATTTCAATAACACTCAAGATAAACTGCACTAAAATGAGATAAACAATTGAGATTAGTGGCCAGTGATATTTCAACTTATCTCGAAACTTTGGAGATTATCATTTGAGATAAGCTTATCTCTTAAAAAAAATAACTTAAGATGATATCATCTGATTGGTCAATTACCAAAATCTGTTTTAAATATAGTTTTATCATCCAATCAGATTACTGTATTTCTTAAAATTTGGATATATCTACGTTAAGTTTTGAAGAATTAGAACCAAATATAATTTTTTTGGACTTTGGACATATTTAAAATATTTACAATCACATACCTAGAAACTTCAAGCATAATCCAAAGTAAATATATATAGATATAGCACTTAATCATATGAGACACATATACTAAAAGTGACCCAACCAGTCCAAAACTATATTTCTGCTCAAGTGCCAGTCTAATCCAAAATCATAATGAAATATATCCTTTGAAGATCACCTTATTATTAAATCTTAATCTGTAGTCAAGGATAACCAGTCATAATATATTGGTAGTCACTGACCTCAAGTCAGTCAACAAGTCGATTAATGCAGTCAATGCCCAGAATATATCCAATATCTGGATTACATTATCAAACAATAATCTATTTTAGTCAAGGATAACAGGTCATTATTAGTATTGTCACCGACTACCAGTCATTTTATGTTTTGCTTCTTATTGAAGATTTTCTGTAGTCACTGAGTCTAATTTCATGTTTTCGATAAACACTTTCAGAATTCCATGACGGCCGTTTTTATTACATAAAGATTCCATCTCGACCTTTTAGATATATTTCGATAGTCGACCAGGCTTCTGTCTGGACTAATACATTTTTTCTGTAGTCTTTGATATCCAGTAAGACAGATGTCGAATCCAGTAGTCCCTGACCTCCAGTAACCAGATATCAATAACTTGTTATGAAGCTAAATTAATCTATAAACTTCTATTTATGGCATCAATTGTCTAAGGAATTCTACTGATCATTAGGTTTAAAGATGCCGATTGGCAGGGCCAGGAATTCTTCAGTTCACAGACTAACGGTGCCATATAATCCTGATGTTGTTGGCATTCAAAATCCATCTGTTAGTCCTACACAAGAGTTTTATATTGCACACTAAATTCTAAGTGCAATTCCAAAAAAGCTTAAGTGCAATAACCTCTCTACTACAGGATCTGGATTTCAAAAAAGCTAAATACTTTTAATTTCGAAGTGCAATTCCAAAACTGGTAAAGTGCAATGACTCTTCTTACACTTGAAGGAAAAGGAAATCCTTTCCAAATGCTAATCTCATACTTTGAATGCTAAGTGTAATGACTTGTTTTTCACAATGAAATCTTATTTCAAAAGCTAATCTCCACTAAGTGCAATTCCCCTAACTGCAAGTGCAATGACACCTCTAACACGTAGGAAATCGTAATTGAATGAACACAAAACCTAATTCAAGTTAATCAACAAAAGGGAGATTTACAAGTGAAAAGGTATCAGATCAACCAACCTGTGTCTTGTGCCGTGCCAGGAGATCAAAATGCAATTAACAACATTCCAGAGTAATCAATAATTGATATCCTATATATAGACACTTTGTATTTTCATAATTCAATGCTGATACAGTAATAAACAAAGCAAGCTCATCAAAAAAACGTTTATTAGGCCAGAGAAAAATTCATTGATTTTCAAACAAACTTTGTCTGTATACATTTCTTAAAGTATTTGGTTTGATTGGTTTGTATGCCAGCGAACACAGAAAGAGGGAATAATAAGCCAAGTTTACAGTTTTTCTGTCGAGGCCTCTGATTGGCTGTTTTAGCTGGCATACAAACCAATCAAATCACTGCATTCTGTGATATAAGAAAGATGGCTATTGTAGTCAAGATATAGGACGAATTTCGTTGTAGCTTGACAATATAAAGATGTAACATAATGGAAGAGTGGGCACAGGCAAATCACATTTCTGAACATGAGCAATCAAAGTCGATTTTTAGACATAAGATTGATTCAGAATCAAAATCAACCATGTTCTGGCCTAAATCTAAATCAATCAAGGATTTTGTATGGTAGATCTATTATGTATTGATATAAACCTATTATCATCTATATAATAAACACAGACATATTGAAAATCTTTTATATAAATACACATCACCCCATACCAACACTCAAAACATACAGATTAAAGGGACACTTATTAAAGTGCACTTAATAAAAGGGCACTTAATAATAGCATATAGGCAGAGATCACTCCATACCAACACTTAAAACATAGATTTGAATTGACACACATGCTTAGGGTAAGACACACGGATGTCAAAGCCAGATATCACCCAAAACCAAAACTTCAAAAAACAAATTCAATGGACACTTTCCTACGGGAAAGACAAAACAACACAAGAACACCATTATCAATATTAACAAAAATCAATGTATTACTGAACCCTGGGAGAAAGAAGTTAGTCAAAATGCATAAATTCATGAAGCTGGTACACACTGCCCCTTTAACTTATATCTAAAAATCA